TTGGGACTTTATCAAATGCTTTATGTAAATCAATAAATATCATATGTAGATTCTCCTTACTCTCTCTAAACTTTCCCATTGAATCTCTGAATAAATGTATAGCTTCCATAGTAGACCTACCCGGCATGAATCCAAATTAATTTTCAAAAATATTAGTATCACTTCGTAGCCTATACTCAATTACTCTTTCTCATACTTTTGATGTATGGTGCATTATGCATCATTTTTATTATTATAAAAATAGGAACCAACACTCCTTTTCCACACACTTGTCTCATCTTTAATCTTCTTCATCTCTCAAGCATTTACACAACTCTATTGAAATATCATCAAGTCATATTGCTTTTACACAATTTATTCTCTAAACATCTCCAACTTCAATTTTATTAGTATGATGGCAAAAACAAAAAATTCTATTTTCTTTTAGGGTTTTAAGATTATTAAAGTCAATCGTATTCTTGCAGTCTTCATTAAAAAACTTATCGAAATATCTCATCTATCTATGTTGAATATCCTTTTCTAATAAAAACACTTTGATGTCCATCCTTGATGCATTTCCCTTGAACTAAATTCTTTTCTAATATCTTTGCTTAACTAATATAGATACATTTTTTTATTATTCTTATTATCTATTCTATTATATAAATAATTAAAAGTTAAATTTTTTGCATCACATATTGATTTCTTAGAATCCTTTCTTGTCCTATATATTTCTCAATTTTTTGAGCTTTTACATCTAAATCAATTTTATAGCAAAATATTTTATTTTTATTTTTTTTGCACATTTTGATTTCACTACCAACTTTTTTTATTATGAGCTTTTTCTTTTCGTACACAAAGCATACTTTGAACATTCTTACTATAACTAACTATTTTTCCTCATGCACAATCAAAATTTTAAGATATTGAGTTTTATCTCAATTTTTTTTTTTTTTGCATTATTTATATGCTCAGATCTAATTCTAGGACAATATTTTACTTTATTTTTTATATTCGGTCTTTTCATTTTAAACTCTAAAACTGATGAGCAATGTTGGATATATAAACTTTCACTCGAAATGATTTTACAACCTTTGCAATTTAAATAATGATTTTACAATCTTTGCAATCTAAATAATTTTTTTTATAATAAAATAATCAATTTGAGTTTTACTATAACTATTCGTATGAGTGATGAGATGCTATTCTCTTTTCTTAAATAAGATATTAGCAAATACAAAATTATAAAATCTAATATGAGTATACTACCTCATCGCTTTACCAATATGATTTTACTTCAAGAGGTATTATTTAGAAGAAAATCTAATATGATCATACTATCTTTATTTGTCGCTCCAAATCTATAGTCACCATAAATGCTATTAAAATCTTCTATCATTTCAAAAATATATGCTCATTTAAATCTCCTTCAATAAAAACTCTTTCTTCAATAGGTATCATTTGTATTAATTCTTCTAATTCAATTCATAATTTTAGTTTTGAACACATCTGAACATATTTGAGGAGCATGTGCATTTATAATATTAATAATCTTATTATCAACAATAATTTTTAAAGCTATAATTTTATCTCTAATCCTATTAGTTTCTACAAAATTATCATTCAAACTCTTATATATAATTACACTTACACCATTCTAGTACGATTCCTACTTAAATACCATAGTTAAAATTCAAAACTATCAATGTCTTTGGTCTTCTTATAATTACACTTACACCATTCTAGTACGATTCCTACCTAAATACCATAGTTAAAATTCAAAACTATCAATCTCTTTGGTATTCTTTTCAACCCATTTAGTTTTCTGAATATATAGAATATTTATCTTTCTAAGAAAGGCTTTCAATCATATTAAAAAAATCAATTTTCTTTTATCTGCTCTTGATGAAGTTGCATACTATCCTAATGTAAGTACATTTATTTTATAATAAAATTTGTTTTATTATTTAATTTTGTAGTCTTCCTTTCTGACCACAATGATATATACGAGAAAGTAAAATAACGGGGCATCGGTGTCAAGGCATTGCAAAATACAGAATCACCTGAAACCTTGGTGCTCTATCATTTTCAATTTAATCTGACTGAATGAGTAATGACCTGACATGTCATCGGTTTTGTCAGAAACTTTGCCTAATTCTGGTTTATTGTGTCACTCTCTCCAAATAAATGTTAACAAAAAAATTATTGGGATCTGTTTTTTAAGTTGCCACAATTAAAATGTGACTCTGTCCGTACACGTTGCGGAGGAGATAATAGTGTCCACTTAATCAAACGTTGACGTGTCATGAGTTTTTTGTAGAATTCGTTGGGGTGTATGCTATCTCAGATTTAGTTCTGAGTACTCTGATAGGTGCTTGGAAAAGGTGGTGCAGATAATTTGAAGTCTTGCTGCCAATTAGCTTTTTTTTCATTTTACGAACTTTTCTTTTAAATTTGTAGTTACCACACGATGAGAATGATTTTCATATCATGGCGGTCATCTGAGCACTCTTAATGTTGCTTACTCTGATGAATGTTGTCCAATTTCTGTATTGGCTTTAGGGATATATTAGATATCATACAATATTTCCTTATTTTAGGTATTTTGAGTTCTGTTGTGCAGAACCATTCGTCAGAAGGCATTGTTGAAATCTGATCCCCTTCTAATGCTTTTTCTATAGGCCGTTTATTTTTTCTCAAATTTGTCTGGAATTGATCCATGCCAACTGTTTAGGATCCTTTTCGCCTGAGACCTATCCGAAACTGGTTGAATCCATTTGAACCAGATTTAATCGTGATGGAAATTATTGACTGTTGCCTGTAACAGTTAAACCTAACCTATAGCCATTTGTTATAAATAAGTTATAAGCTGAAATAGAAGCCAAAAAGACTAAAACTAAACTTTTAAACGGTAGAAACTCCTGAAAAGGTGGGTGGATTATATATTTTGAAGTGTGGTCCTCATTAGCATTTGTTCATTTCTATCACTTTTGTTTTCTATTATGGCTACCACATGATGAGAATGGTTTTTCATCTCATGACGGTCATCTGAGCACTTTTTATAGATGCTTATTCTGATGAATTATGACCTATTTCTCTGATGGATTTAGGGAAATATAAGATATCATACAACTTTTTCTTAGTAGATGTTTTGAATTATGCTCATTTGACAAGGCATTGTTGAAACATGATCTCTTTCGAATGTTTTTTCTGTCAACCATTGTTTTTCAGTTTTGGCTGACTTTGATTGATGGGCACTGTTTAGGATCACGGGTTTGACCAAGAACTATCCAAAACTGGTTGAATTCATTGGAACTAGATTCAATCACGATTGAAAAATTGAAGCTTGACTGTAACTTTTAAAACTACCCAAAAACCATATGCTACAAATAAAATAATCAAATAGAGGCCAACTATACCACTGCAATCATTTATTTTATTTTTTTGTGGCTGAACCTAAATTAAATTTACAAATGTTGATGTACGTTATTAGATTTTTCTTCAGTTACCAAACCCCTTTTCATCGCCTTCTGTCTCTCCAGCTCCCCCTAATAGAATTAATTTTTAACTAACGGATTAATCCACATAGTGGGATAAAGGCTTGATTTTGTTGTTGTTGTTGTAAGGGATTAATCTAATGAGGAATGATGCCAATCCTTCTTGGGCAGCGAGGTGAAAATATCAATAAACGCTAGTCATCTTTATCAATATTCTTGCTGGTCTGATGATTCTCTACATTTATGTTGAGTGTTTCATGAGGCTTTGGCTTTATTTTATGCTGGAATTCTTTGCCCAATAAAACATGACTTTTTAGAAGTTATTTTCATTCCGGCTTTCTTTTTTCTACGGTATTGTAAGCTGTCTTTTTTTGTTTTTCGTATAAGCTAGTTAAGTTCTTTATTATGTCCATTTCTTTTCAAGTTTATTTTCTTCAATAATTTCAGCCATGAATTTTACTCATCATTTTTATAGATTTCTGATGGTTTATTGACTATGAAAAATTGGAAAAAAAACACTTGATTATCTTTCCTTCTAAAGGTTTTATGATTTTTTGAATGTTTCATATATTTATGTAAGCTCATTCTAGTGTTTGTATTTTTATATGATATTTTTTCACTCGACTCGCTTTGTTTATAAAAGAAAAATAGGCACGACGCAGATAAATTCAGTGTAGCTCAAGCAACTTGTTATTCTGATAGTATTGCTGCTCGGTGGAATGGCCTTTTATTTTGTTATATATATATATATATATTTTGAGGATGTTATCACTCAGAACTACAAATTAGTTCTAACTTCTAATTGTAGTCCAATATTTTTTTTTGTGCGGGGTGGGGGGTGGGGGAGATGTTATCAGTAAAAGTAGCAAGCTTAGTCCAATCTAAGCCTCTCTTTTTACAGTAATTAGATTCAGGCTCCTAAATATTTAACCATTTTCTAAACTATCACCCCTAACTACTGTTGTGATACTGCCACCCAAATAAAATTAATAAAAAACTGCGACCAATATATTTTACTTCAATCAAATTCCCTACAGTTTGATGTTTGTATGTGCAAATACTTGGTTTTGCTGTTTCTTTTTTGGGTTAGGTAGATTTTAGTAGCATATGTTGATGGCATATAAACATGTACCTAGTAGTTTTAATGATTTTTATAATGGTTGTGCTTTAGGCAGCACAAAGAACAAAGAAGGACAAATTCGTTTTAACTTTTGCCTGCTAGCGGTCTTAAGAGAGTGGGTCAAAGCAATGTTTGGAATTCCTTGTTTATGGTCTGGGTGTCCATAGTTCGAACCTTAGAAATAGCTGTGGTCATTTTATTCCCAAATAATTGTATGCCAGTTCTAATTTTTAGGAATTTTGGTTGGAGAAAAAATTGTTTTACTATTCTCCCGAAAGAAATTTATACCACTTAGAAAAAATAGTTCGAACCTTAGAAAAAATTGTTTTATGCCAGTTCTAATCTTCATCTTCTTCATCGCTTTTGTATGTGTATGTTAAAGTATTTGGATCCTTTGTTTGTAGGGTGGGTAGGCAAGTGGTGAATATTCCATCATTCATGGTGAGGGTGGACTCAGCTAAGCACATTGATTTTTCACTTACCAGTCCCTTTGGTGGCGGCCGTCCTGGAAGAGTCAAGCGGAAGAACCAGAGAGCTGCAGCTAAAAAGGCAGCTGGTGGTGATGGCGATGAAGAAGATGAAGATTAAAGTAACTTTAATATTCTACTCTTTTTTTTTCTATTCAAAGTATCGAATTTGACTTTGTCAGGCTTATTATTACGAGTTTGCTTTGCGTTTTTTTTTTTTTTGGAGACATAACTTGCTTTTCTTCAGTTGATGCTATTGAAGTTTTGTGTTGCCTTTTGATATGAATTGAGTGATTTTTGAACTTCTAATTTTAATATAGATCAGAATACATTTTTGGCATGTTTGCACGAAAGATTCATAACATCAAAATTATTAAATATGCATATTTATCTCTTACAAATTAACAATATCATTAATGCCACCATCAAAGACAGTTCTAATTAGTTAATGGGATATTTTTTCATGGCTTTAGTTTATGCAAGAGTTTGTAGTACTTCTTTTAGTTTTTTTTTTTTTACAGTAGTTCTTGCACTTGTTATTAAAAGAGAAGCATAATTCTAAGTTAAGTGTTGCAAAGATGAGGATGCTCAAGTGGATGAGTTGCTTTACCTTTAGATATAAGATACAAAATGAGCACATACATGAAAAGGTTGAAGTAGCTCCAATGGAATATAAGATTAGAGAGAGTCGCCTTAGATGGTTTAGCCATATAAAATGGCGGCCTTTTGATGACCTGGTTAGGAAAGTAGAGATTAGATTTGACTTATGTTAAGAAAGGTATAGGAAGACCTAAAAAGACTTGGTTAGAAAATATTAGAAATTATCTTTTTTTTATTAGATTTAGGCTTTGTTTGGAAAAGTTTTTTTTATTGCTTTTTAAAACGGAGTTTTAATACAATTTTTTTTACTTTTTAACTATAACTCCGTTTTAGAAAGCAATAAAAAAGCTGTCCCAAATGAAGCATTAAACTATAATTTGACTTTTAACATGACACAATGAAAAAAAAGTATTCATGTAGCCGATCCCACATAGTAGGACTAAGGCTTGTTGTTCTTGTTGTATAATATTGCAACTATAAGAAAAATTATTTTTGCATTGCGTGTTTTAAAATTTTTTTAACTATAGTCATTTGTTAGGAGTGCTCTTTTAGTGGAGAAATTATTCTGTGCGTGGTCCTAACGGAAAAAATCGTCCAAATTATGAGTTTACATAATGTATATTAAATATGTATAAACATATTATGTGCAATGTGTACACTTAAATGTATAACATACTATGCACAGAATAATATCTCCTTTTGGTGACATTATTGGGGCTTTCATAAGTGCCTCTGCTATCATTAAGTTATGTATGGTTGGATGTAAGAAACTATGAGCTCATCTCCTTAAATCCAATTTCATTCACAACATAAGAAGCAAAGCTTGGTTATTAAAACATATTTTATAAAGTGCCTAAAGAACTCTGCTTTTTGAAATCCTTTGAAGTCGAGTGACACTCATAGGGGTTGTTTGGTTAGGAGTAAATTGAGTGTTGTTGAATTTATTTTGTATTTGGTTTGATGCAAAGGAGAGTGAAACGAAAATCCATAGTATTCTAAATCTCTTACTATAGCTCATTTTTCATGTGAAAGAAACCCTCTTAAATTGAGCGAAAAAGAAATTCACAGGCGCGAGAGGGAGAAGCTCGCGGGAACATCTTTGTTTATGCTCTCTTTCTTGTCTGTGTGGCTTTGGTGTGTTGTGGGTGAGATATGGTTAGCGTAGGATCTCTCGTTTGGAGCTAATTCATTCAACCTTGTCTGCTTCGTGCGTCCAAATCAAGAGCAACAAGAGGAGGCAAATGCAGATGGCTTCCGTCTGCTTTATGTGTTTGACCCTGTCTAGGTCCTGAGCATCTCCAGGGGTCCGTGCTTCTCCAAGCCGCTTGAGCCTTCTTGGCCGCCGTCCTGTAGACCATTGATTCTTTAGGTCGTCGAAACCCCTAGGTGTCCGACTCTCCCGGCCATTGACGCCTCTTCTTGCATCGCTCCTCGTAGTTCGACTTCGCCCCTTTGACAACGTTTTTTTCCTGTCTGATCGGAAGACACGGAAGTAGCTTGCTCGCTGTGAAGGTTACTATCTTTCTCCCTTCCGCATGCTTCTTCGGCCAAATTCCATTAATTCGAGAACTTTAGGATTTTAGGAATTTATGGCCAATTCCTGTCCCATTTGGTTGTTTCTATCATCTATGAGCAATATTCAACACCCATATCAGAGCTTTGGTTTTACTCTGTATATCCTCAACTAAACTGAAAAAATAGTTATGCATTCACTTTATAGACAACCAAATAATCTCTAAATATTTACTTTACACTCTATTCATTTCACAATAAACCAAACAGCCCCTTAGTGATAAGAGTAGTTTTAAACTTTGCCATGACACTAATTGCTATGTGACAGTGCATGTTTTATGGTATGCCTTCTAAAAAAAAAGATTAACAACACTTTGGTAATAATCTATATGGAGTGCCTATTGCATGGTGTCCTAAAAAAATGATTGACAAAACTTTGGTATTATTATTATTATGTCTATAAGATATAAATATGAAGTTCTTCATTATGCGTATTATTAACTCACCATCCTAACTGTAAAACATAATAGACATAACTCAATTATTTTTAGTGAACAATAGCAAATGCCCTCCCAAAGGATAAATTTGTGTTTTGACATCTATTATAAATCATCATTGAATAAAAGTAGCTAGAGGAATGTAAATGTTTGAAGTCATGATGTTCTCTATATTATTGGAGACCAATAACTATCCTTAAATTGTGTAAACATAGCATAACCAGATATAATGCTGGTTTTTTATTTCAAATATATTGGTAATATGTTTTTAAATTAAATTTAATTAGCATTATTTGTCAATTAATAATGTCTTCTTTTATCATTTATCTTTTATCAATTCATAATGTCTTCTTTTATAATTTAAAAACATTGCACCAAGTTTATAATAGACATCAAGTTTTTTAAGAGGAAAGTTTGAAACAGGGAAAAACTACATGGCCTAGACTAGTTTGAATGAATCTACTAATGTTTGTAATCAATTACAAATGAAGCCCTTCATTAGAGGGAAGGCCTTGATTTGTGTGACAAATATGCATTATATAGAGCATATTACATGGTGGAAATTTGAAAAATCTATTGACATGTTTGTTTAGTCAGCAAGACCATAGTAGGTGGACGACGAAAGTTAGAAAGATTATTGTCTAGTGATGTTGGTCGGAAGGACCATAATCGACGAAGGAGGTCAGAAGGATCATAATCAGAGGGCGATGAAGGACGAAAAAATCATTGTTGGTGAGCAATGGAGGTCGAAAAGACTGTTATTTGGCAACAGAGGTTGAATGGATTGTAGTCGGAGAAGGAGGTCGGAATGACTGTGGTCGATGGGTGACGGAGGTCTGAAAGACCTTTATCGGGTGGAAGTCCAACAATAGCTAGAAGCAGAGTGGAAGTTTGACTTTAATTGGGGGTCAAGTGGAAATCCGGTGTTAGTCGGCGATTGAGCTGAAATCCGACGTTAGTTGGTGGCCGGACAGAAATTCGGTGTCAGTTGGTGTCCGGGCACAAGTCCGGCGACAATCGGTGGCCAGGTGTAAATCTAACGTCAATGGGTCACCGAGTGTAAGTCTGACATCAGTCAACAGCTACGCAGAAGTCAGACATTAGTCAGCGGCTAGGTGGAAGTCTGGTGGCAAGAGGGCTCTCTTCCTTCCTTGGGCCCCCCTATATGAAGGATGAGATGTTTATTTATAGTTTTCTCAGATGTCAGACGGCGACCAAGCTAAAATCCAACATTAGTTGGTGGCCGAGCAGAAATCCGATGTCAGTTGGTGGCCGGGCACAAGTATGGCTAGGTGTAAATCCGGCGTCAATCGATCACTGAGTGTAAGTCTGGCATAAGTCAGCGATTGCGTAGAAGTCAGTCATTAGTCGACGATTGGGTGGTAGTCTGGCGGTAGTCGAGGAGTCTGATGGCAAGAGGGCTCTCTTCCTTCCTTGGGCCCCCCTCAATGAAGAATGAGAGGTCTATTTATAATTTTTTTAGAGTGACATGAGTAATAAATAAGAAAGAGATCAAGGACAAGCCTAGAGTGGTTTGAATGGACGGCCGATGTTGATTGCCTTGATCATGGATCGTTTACTAAGAATTTGAACATCTTAATGATATCGAAATTTTGGCGATCTTAGGCTCGTTGGATTTCTCCCATCGTGCCGCTCGATTCGACTAAAAGCATGTCACATTTTGTAATCCAAATATAGTTTGAACCTTTCAAATGTACTTTGGGTCTTTGTTTTGGACTCATTTGGGCTCAGATTGAGTTGAATTTGGTGTCGTTGAGTTCGTATTTTCGAGACGTTCAGTTCGACCATTAGGTTGTTGAAATCAGAGTTCAGATATGATAGGAAATATCAAATATATGTAGGTTTAAATATTTATTTATTATTATTTAAAATTAGCCGGATAACTTAAGCAGGACTTAATAAGTTATGCCAATTTCTTATTAAAATTTTTTACTTCCATTTATGCCTGATAATTAAGCTATTTGTTTAATTTAGTTTGATTGAGTTCATTTGCTAAACAAATTTTATAACTCGAGCTCATTTGTTTATTTAGATAAAATTTTTATAATGTAAATATGTAATATAATGCAACGCAAGACAATATTCTTAATTGCGGGTATGAGTTAGGTTTGGATCCGCTATCAATTTAATGGCTTGGATTTGGGACAAGATGGTTAACTCTTTCGGTGGGATGGACAGCAACTTTGAACTGACAATTTGAAGATTTTTCTAATACAGTGGGCCCGGTCCAATTCCAATGGAGGCCGTGTCGGCCCACTTGGCGTCCTTAAAGCCTGCGCGCGTTTAGATCGGGCTATTCATGACCCCCCATTAACTGGCACCCGTGACGGGACCCACGATGTTGACCCTCATCTTCTGTCCGACCTTATTAACTATTTACACCCTTCTCAGTTCTCCCCCACTATTATCGTTTTTATTGTTCCTCACCCTCGTAAGAAAAATATAATGAAGAAATAAAAAGAATTATTTTCTCTCATCCCTTCATATAATTAAATTCATTGCTATATAAAACTTTATAGTTGAAATAAATACTTTGATGAGACGATCCGCCTCCATTTTTTTATTATTGGCATCTTATTTTGTCTATTCTTTGACAATTGTCACCTAACTGCAGTTGCCCAATGGCCATCGCCTGACGAGCATCTACTGTCCAATATCGTTCCGTTAATGTC